ACCATTTATATTTTAAAATATTAACGTCTACCAAACGGTTGAGATGTCAGTTAATGGTTAAAGTACATAATTGCAAACAAATGGCGCAAATATTAGAAAAAGTAACAAAAAAAAACGCTCTTTTGCAAATAAAAAGGGAAAAAATGTCTACAGTTCAATAAAGATATTTGATCTTTAATAGTGTGCCACAAAATATTACGTCTTTTCATTTTAACTAAGTAGATTTCGTTATCAAACAAATCTATAAAGTTTCAGGTTGATTGCATCCGTAAAAAAGTGCAACAGCACAAAATTCAGTTCATCTAATTGAGTGCTCCTGTTAATAACTAATTTTTGTAATTAAAAAAATTAAAAAGGTAGAACAAAACACAGGAAACAATTATATCTCTTACTTCTAAATTTCAATAAACCTCATTTGTGGTGAAGCAATAGCTCTTGTATCTTTGAAGAGTAAGATCTACATTTCTTGTGAATTGATTGAACCAGTAGTGTTGGTTTCTGTTTGCTAAAATTCCAAACACAGTAAAACAGTGTGAAACATTTTAAATTTTGTTTCCGACTCAACACACCTCATTGGTGTGATTGTGTAATAGCACGACTCTTTCTGAGGATTAGATATATATGATTTATGGTGATATGACACATTGCTGGTGTGTTGAAAAACAAGAAAACAATGTCTATCTGAAATTTTCCCCTTTTCACACCGCTTGGGGCATAGGTTGTATTATTCTTAATTAGGCCAGTGTCCTAAAATACTAAAATATCCACTGGTTGTGGTTTTGGTCAGGAGGGTCTCGGTGGGGGGCATCATTTCATCTGTCAGAGGGAAGAAGTGAATTTGCACTGCACAGATCCAGGATGCATCCAAATAGGGGATGTGATCTCCTGGAGTTAGGGTCTTGTACAGGTGTACCAGCGTTTCTGAAACAGCAATACCTTTAATATGCTCATTGTAAGCAGAGATAATTGATGGCTATGGGATAGCAATATTTATACCTGACTCAGTGATCCACCAGTTGACAGGCATTGCTCAGAGGGTTGACATATTTGTCATTCAACCATTTTACTGCAATTACCCCTTCAGCAGACCTGTTATCTCAGGCTCCATGACCCTTTTTTCATTAGTTCAAAGTCTGCCATCAAAGGATGTTCACCAATGTGGTTTGGTCTTAAACCAATGCACTTAACACACAAAGAAGTATGCAAGTTCTGGACCAAGATGAAACTTGTACTAATCACAAACAACAACAGACAGCTAATTTTTTTATGGTTTAGAATAATTTCACCAGTTTCTCTCCAAGAAGAAGCCTTTTTTCGATTCACTGAGGGCAACACTGAATCATGTGGATACCCGTTGGGACAGGGGCAAATCATAATAAAAATTCCATATGAATTTTCTTGACAAAATATAGTGATATAAGTACACCAGCTTGTGTTATTTCATCAGGGTTGTTGGGTATATTATGATTTCTACATTTTTTTTCTGGATTTTACTCATAGTAACTAAGATCAACTTATAAATCAACAATAGTAAAGAAACACCTTCAGCATATTCACAATAAACTAACAATTAATGAATTATATTCAAATAAATAAATAAACTNGTATCAGTCACATGGAGGCAGGGCTTAAAAGCCTGAATTTTGCCTGAAACTCTCAGACTGAAGAAGTCTCTTGGAGGAGAGACGAAACGTTTCATTAAAGAAGAACCCGCCCAGAAGACCTATACAATTTTTTTCTTTTTGATGAGCTAAAATGACTCAAATCAAGAGGATTTATGAGCCTGCTCAGAAAAGTATTGATTTTTTAGTATGTGTGCACATATCTTTGGGCTGAATGGAAATGTACTTGAGGTTGACCGGCCAGCGGCCACAGCAAAAATAATATGTTTTCAAGTTTGAGCTCTCAAAATATCATGTAGAAAACTTTAACTCAGTCAAAACCATCATCATGAGTGCAGCCAGGAGAAAGACAACTTAATGCTTATTATTTTTGATAATTAAACTTAAACTATAAGGGAACAGCCAGCAGATGACATAACTTTTAATTTCCTACAACAACAATGAGCACATCCAGTGACTCACAAAGGCCCAGCGGTCTGAACAAAACTAAACCGGGTTTCGGTGGGGACCCAAAGGGTTAGGGTCACTAATAAAACACGGTGCTGAGCAGTCAGCCAGCGGCTGAGTGAAGCTACATCAAGGCGGCTAACCTCTTTGACAGGAGGGAATTTCTTCTTGCACTCCATGGACAGAGACCGCAGGTCCGTCTGCATGTTCTCCAGCAATTTCTTCACCGCTTCGGGACTGCTGGTCGACATCTTCGACGGCGTCTTCGACACAAAACCACAAGAACCTTTTGGACGTTAAGGAACGTGGGAGCGTGGTCGCCCGCCAGCCCTTTCAACGCGGGGGTCTAAATAAATCCGTCGCTACTTTACTCGCCTCCCTTGGAAAGGAAAACACGGACGCCGCGGTCCATTGACACGGTACCGTCCGCTGCGCAGGAGAGCAGCGATGTCACCGGCATGTGTTCCCTCCTCCTAAAAGCCAACAGACATCAGCTTCAAGGAGTAGCCGTCCGTGCTCGAAGTTTATATTTCCTAAAACTGTCCACAAGTCGAAGCTATTGGCTAAAACTGTCCTATCTGCTGTCTGCGGCCGTGTAAGCTCGGCTGAAGTTCCCACAATCCTTTGGTGCAGAGTGACACGTCACTCCGACTTCCGTAAACAGTGACAGGTTCAGAAAAACGACTGCAGCGACACCTGCTGGACAAAATACTCAAACACTATTTAAACTAACTAAACTAAACAGTGACAGGTTCAGAAAAACGACTGCAGCGACACCTGCTGGACAAAATACTCAAACACAAATTAAACTAACTAAACTAAACTAAAGTAAACTAAACTAACTAAACTAAACTAAACTAAACTAATCTAAACTAAACTAACTAAACTAAGCTAAACTAAA